CTTCTTCCCCGACCTAATTGGGAAAAAAAGGCCTCACCTATGTTTCTCTGTGTGTATACGTATATATGTGTTTATGTATATAACTATATTTATAAATATATATCAGTAAATATGTGCATGTATGTAAAAATACATTAATGTATTTGTTTATATATACACAACAAAGACAGTACAGCCCAGCAGGCGTTCTGGGAGTGCCTGTGCAGTGAGCAGGGCTGCAGGTACCAGTCCCAGAGGAAAACAGCCTTGCTGGGCCATGCACGCATGCAGGGGTTGAAGCACCAAGGGTTCCTGCTCCTCTCTGTCTTTCCCAAGGAGATGGAGAGGTCAAACTCACTGTGCTATGGTGCAAATGACTATGTGTGTGCTTCTTACAGATGCGCCTGTTGGAGCACAGTGATCCAGGTGCTTCAGCTTGAAGGACCTGTGATGAGTTTGAAATTCAGAGCATCTGGGATTATCTGAAGGACTCCATGTACGAGATGTCTGCACCCTCGTGGGCTTCCCTCTCTCCCACCGTGGCACCTTGCACCTCTGGTTAAACCTGTTGTTCAGGTACTGTTAAAAAATGTCAAAGTGTTGCTAGATGAAAACCCCTAATCTGGAAAAGTCAGGACCAATTGCTATTGAAGCTGAGTGCCTTTGGGAACAAAGTCCATTTAAATTCTGTCTGATCTTAAATCTGTAGGACTGTGGGCAGAAGAGATGATTCCATCTCATGATATTCTGCATCTGCAGTACTTAGTATTCATGTCACTGTCCCCTTCATGGCTGATGCTAAAAGAAAAAGTGTGTGCCCATAAGGCTGCATGTCATTTGGGAACGTGATTTCACCCCATGTTACAATCTAGTAGACTGCTAACGTTCTAGAAGGGAGTAAAGGATTTTCCAAGTTTCAGAGTTATCTTCACACTGACTCTAGCTCTCCGCTTGTAGCATGGGAAGATGGACAGATTTCTTTATAAGCGGTGACCCCAAAGTTGTTCACAGGTTGGACAGCTCTGCCTGCATGAGCCTGTCTTGGCCTTCTCATCATATCTTAATTACTGTTTTGGTTAAAAAGAGGATAATATTATATATTAAGTCAACAGAGATACTGTCAGGTTAGGATTAAATAACATTTACTGCAGGGAAAGCATAAAAGATCCCCAGAGTACTAAATGTTGTTACTACAAATGCAGCTTTAAAAAAATCTGGGGGAAAAAAAGTATCATTGATATGTATTTTTTACTGTATAAAACTTACAGATCTTTATAAAGCAAATTTTGGCCCTGAAAACAATACAAATTGAAATGTATAGCTAGAGGTTAAAAAACTGCTGGAAGTTACAAGGTCAAAATTTGTAGTTAAGAGAGTGTTGGTAACTTAGGGTATCATAAAACTTTGGTTAGAATTAGATTTCTGGTACTCATGGCAGCTTCCTGCATCCTCTCCATAAAATGCATTAAAAGCTGTGGTTTTCCTGCTATATGTGATTAAGCCAAATTTTATTTACATAGATACGTATGTATTTGTATTAACTGTTAAGGGGATGTCCAAAGTTGGCATCTCGTATTAAAACCTCCATGTTCTCTGTCAGTGATGACTCAAATCCAGTGTTGTCTCAGTTCTGCCCACTTCACGGGGTTCTTCGAGACAGGATGTTACAAACAAGAGTTTTTCTCTTTTTTGTAGATGTTAACATATTTTTTTCACATCCTTTTACAAATTCAATACAGTTACCTGTGTGATTTAACTGAAATATCCTTTCTTCTTTCACTGTTTTGTAACTTCTCTTCAGGACTGAGCAAACTACATGTACTTTTACTGCAGGTACGCATGGTAAACACAACTCTCTGTCTATGCACTGTGAATAACTGCATGATTTGGGCTTTATTAAGGGATAAAATATGAATTTAATGCAATTTTGCATGGGCTAGTCAGTAACTGAAAGTAAAGTATATGAATGAAAAGGTGAAAATATAGGGGGAAAAATATATTCCATATTTTCTACTTCTCAGCTTCCATACCTCTGCTTACTGACAGCTAGGAAACGTTCTCAGAGCCATTGTGCTTTTGCAGGATACAGACACGGGGCTACACATTTATTTACATATATTCAAGCAATATGAAAAGTTATGAATAATGCTATAACTTTTGATACTCAAAAGAATTTAGAGTCTTTAGTCTTTTACATTTTCTTCAGTAGCTATAGTAGTCTAGGGCTGAGTAGGATCAGACTTCAATATTTAAAGAATGTCTCTCTAAATCTTCTATGAAATGCCTGGGGGAACCTGGACAAATCACTTGCAAAAATAGCCCATTCTGCAGGTTTTATATAACTACTATAACATTGCCCAGTGTAAGACTATCTGCCAGGTGCTCTGTGCTGTGCCTTGATGATGGCAATGATTCTGTGTTCTTCTTTGCTTTTGAATTAACTTTATTTTTAAAAGATGTAATGTGTTTGAGATTCCTACCTTAAAATTAGACACTCGAAAGCAGAGATTTAAATAACTAAATAAATAACTTTTCTCCTTATTCTAGTAAAAGTTCCTGTACTTAATTCAATTTCAGTGCTTTTTCATTTCCCATTCCAGACCTTACTTTATTTATGCTGACAATTCCAGAACGAGTGGAGCAGGAACATATGATCTTTTGCATATGTGCATATTATTTATGACCATTGTGCAGAGTTTGTTAATACTTGTGGTTTAAAAGGAATGGGTTGCTTATTTAAAAGAATATTGTCATGACCTGATTGTGTTTTTTCATTAAAAATGTTTATACATTTTCTTTTTTTCCTTTCAGTTTTGCTTTACAAAGCTAGTTTCTTCAGAAGAGGAAGAAGGGATTTCATTTCCAGATTCACGTGTCATATCGAGAGCTACTCTGTTTATTGTCCTCAAGTTCTTTACCAGAGCATGTCATCACACAGCTGTACACTCCTTATGACTACAACATACTGCAAAAGGGGATCTGACTAGTTCCTGCCCTGCCTCGAGACCAGTGTACGTGTGCTTCCATTTGCCAGTTGAAAGTTGTTTCTTCGCAAGTGTACAAGAAACAAATGCAAGCTTGAGGTGTTTTTTCAGAGCAGCAAATTATTTATGCCAGCCATGTCACTAGCTGAATGGGTTTCACAACCCCCTGACTCTGACACTAGCTGAATGGGTTTCACAACTCTCTGGCCTTTGTTAGTAGTCACACTGGGAATTGTTGACCTGCAACGTTAATGTTGAGCGTGTTGTGTTTTAAGGTTTTGAGGAAAATGCAGAGACGGCATAGCAGCAACACTGACAACGTTCCTCCTGAAAGGTAAATTTTTTCCTTCTTTTTTCCTCCATTTTCCTTGCCAGAGGGGAATGTCCTGATTTAAGTGTATGGTGTGTTTTAGAAGATGGAAGCTCAAAGGGGAGAAAAGCATATACTTCCTGTGCATAATGTGGCCAGGCTTAGAGACTTTTCACCTTCATGTCAGTTATTGACCGCTACCAACTGTAGTGTTTCAGGTTTCATGATCCAGCATGGCACATATGGAGACAGTTGGCTTAGCAGAGGCAGGACGTTTTGGAGCTCTAGAGGACCGATGAATGGCATAGTCCTTTGGGGATCCTGAGTGCTATCAATCTGAAAGGATCGATCTGTATGAACAGAGGCTATTTATACTTCTATTATTAAGGTATTTAAAAAGTCTGCTGGTCTGAAGCTCCCAATAACTATAACTTAGTATTTATAAAGATTTTGGGTGATCCTTTACATCATCCCAGAATCTGTCTCTAGCTTCATGTATGTGAATATTTAGAAGTAGAATACCTCTAATTCATTTCTGTAATTATAACATCAGCAAGGGAGGCTTGCCACTGTTGTTGTTCTGGTACTAAATATTCCCTTGTGCTTTCCCAGGGTTAGAGCTTGACTTTTTTTTTTTCTGAAGAAACTAATCTAATTACTCTAAGACAAAGATGGAACTAACGAATTTCATTGGTCTGGCTGAGATGAGATTGTAAATGAAAGATCATTACTAAGTATTTCTTAGTGGTTTTGCAAGTAGAGGTGAAGCTTGATGTCATGACCACTTCTAGCATGGTACCATTCTTAATTTCAGGGGGAAAAAAAAGCCATCTTCAACTTTTTCTGCATGATGCTGCCCAAGCCTCAGTGCAGTCTGTGGGTTTTATACCAGCAGGCAAGCCTGGGGCTTGAGAGGCACATAAGATGCTGTACCTGCTCATCTGCACCGTAGAGCTCTCTGAGTGTGTACAAACTTGTAAGGCACTTAGGAAATGTTTGAATGGTTAAAATATATTCAGGATAGGTGTTTATTATTGAGCACAAAAGATAAGCAGAGTAATGTCAATTATTTTTTTATAAATGCTTCTGGTTTTTAACAGGGTAAATACATATTGTCAGTAACATGGGCTGAAGGTTTTCTAACTGCAGAGTGAAATGCTGTTGCTGTTTGTCTTCACTTCCGTTAACTTCAGCAGACTCACAATTTCATCCTTCTTTATTTGTTTTTAAATATGTCCCTGATTAATTCCTTCCTGATCCTGGTAGTATTGTTCCAAACAATAGTTGTGTCTTTATCTGTAACACTGGGTTCCACCCAATTTGTTTGTTGTGTTCCCAGATGTAAGTACTGTCACATTATGTCCCTGTCTTGTGTATACATCCCTGAATTGTAATGTTAGGTGTAAAATCCAGGATCTGGTTGATGAATATTTTGAACCAAAAAGAGGTGTGCAGTGTCTTGTTGACTTGATTCCTTGCTGGAGCCTGTGGAGAGACATTGGGAATGGGGTGTAGCTATAAAAAGCCTGATTAGGAGTTTACTTAGTGGGAAGGTATGCCCAGAGAGGTTTGAAGCTCTCTCCAGAGCAAGATGAAAGGCAGTGCTCTGTGCCCTGTGTGATGCTTGGGGAGGCTTCTGAACCCATGGGAGAGAGCGGGTTAAGGGCCCTGTATGTGCCTGCATGTGCGGTCTCAGCTTGTGACCACTATTTCTAAAGTTAGAGATCTCCAAGGATTAAAATCAAGAGAGACCAAAGCCCTGCAGCATGCCTTTGGGCTTTGCCTCTTGCTGAGCTTTATTTATTCTTTACTCTCCTTTTGCAAGTTAGAGAGGTATTTGCTGTCTGCCAGGCGTTTACTGCCTAATGATTGTTCTACTTGTTACCTGTATTGCTCCCTGTCATCTAAACTTTACATGAATTTATTTCAGTACCACAGTATTGAGTTCAGGTGAAGAAAGCCTGTTTTCTCTTGGTATTAGGATGAAGATATTTAAGACTTTCTTTTTTGGAATCTGGTTATAATCCAACAAGCTCAGGAGAGAATCAGTGCCAGATCTAATTCTGTCCAGTGCCTGATAATTTGGGTACATCCATGTCCAATTTGCCAATATAAAACAATTTCTCTTGACCCATGAGCACATACTTCACTTAAAATATTTGTTGGGTCAGGGACACAGAAGCAGCTCTCAATGCTTCTCTTCCCCAGTTGACTCTCTCTCTTGTATGTGTTATTCATCATTAGGCAAGTAGCAATCATCCCTAAATAAAGACAGAGGATTGGAGAGTAGGTCATTTCTTTGAGTTGGCTTGCTTAATTTGTTTGTATATAATGTGACCTGTCTTGGTTGTGCTGTGTAAAGTTACATGGGGTTTTGTATGTTTTTCTTTAAATAATAAAATCATTATAGAAGATGTTTAATTTGGTATCGGATATGTTATTTCTTTGTTTCCTCCAAAAGTAAAGGGGGTGTTTGGGAACTCTGTTCCTTAGATGAAGGAACTGGTGCATTTTGATCACTTCTTTGGAAGTACTCTGATCTTACCTTAGGAGTCTGGTTAGTGGCCTCTGGTTCTGCAACTGTGACCTTCCAACAGCAAATAGAGGAAAAAGCATCTGTCATCTGGAGACCTAATAGTGTGTGAGGAACTCTTACATGGCTACAGTTGGCATTGGGCTAAAAGACCGAGAAGTTCTGTGGCACTCATTTTTGTTTAATCACTTTTCTCTAATCTCCATCCACTGCAGAAACCGGAGCCAAACAGTCAGTTCTGAAACCAGCGTGGATGAAAGTGGAGTTTTTGAAAGTCTGAAGGCTGAAGCTTCTTCACCACAGCAGCTGTTCTCAGGCCTGGCAGGTATCCCATCAGGCACCATCACAGCCACGCCATTCCAGTCGGGTTTGGTTCTGGGCTCTTCAGCAGGCGGTGGGGAAGTGTTCATTCAGATGCCAGCCCCAAGGGAGGAAGGGAGCAGTCGTACAGAAGGAGCCCCGTTTCACCACCGGCAATCATCCCATCATTTCCACCATGGCCATCACCGGGGTTCATCTCTACTGCACATGGCAGGAGGGGACCGCCACGGGCATGCTGAGGAAGGCAGTGACGAACAAGCTGGAACTCCAGCCCCAGCTCTTTCAGAGTTAAAAGCCGTGATCGGTTGGCTGCAGAAGGGACTTCCCTTCATCTTGATCCTCCTGGCTAAAGTTTGTTTCCAGCATAAGCTTGGTAAGCAGCTATCTTTTTTGGATTGCAGGTTTATTAGAGGGTGGTTAGGAAGCTGTATCATGCTGTGGTGTCTGATACATTTATCCACATGACAGTGTCGAGAGATAGTCTAGCATGAAGGGGACATATTCAAATGCATGGGATAATGCATTTGATAAATTCACCCTACTTTCAGTCCAAGCTGTTTCATCTGTGTCAGTCCCATCTGTTTCCTGTCCTGACCTGTGGGAGATCCGCTCTGTACCTTTGCCTGATCTCTCCTTGACATTCCTGTAGGGGCTGAGGATATTACCAAGGCTTCTCCCTCAGACCTCTCTCTAGGAGAGATGGGGAGAGCATACATTAGTGAGTAGCAAAGGCCTCTGTGTAGCACAGAAGGGCTCATAGGCATGAGACACTTGTACAGCTGGAAGGATGGTAGTGGTGAAATCAAGCCAAACAGCATCAGAAGTTGCATACAGTTGAGATCTTCAGAGTTCCCTAAAGAATGTGTCTATCCAGGTTTCTTTAATGGCACCTGAGTATTTCAGCCTCTCAGTGGTCATGTAAAATCTATTCATCTAATCCTGCTCTTACTACAAAATTGTATGTGTGGCATGTCTGGATCCTTACTCATTCTGGGAATAGTATACTGAGATTATCATCAAGGGAAGCCAATAATGCTTGAGTTTAGTCCACTTACAGCTCTGCCAGTATTCCCAAAACCAAGTATCAATTCATGTCTGCAAGATTTTGCTCTTTGGCCCTGGTATCTTGTGTGGTTTTGTAGTGTGCCCCGTCCCCCATGAGCTGCTGAACTGCTATTGTAATAGGGTCACCTAGCTGAGTTCTGTTTGCACAATGCAGCCACAACTTGCAGCACTTCAGTTCTCCATCAGCACAGGACCTGACATTAGGGCAGAGTGTCTGTATTGGGCAAGTGCTCACTGCAGTAGCTTCTTTTTCATTTAGCTTGATTTTGAACTTCATATGAGTCCAAACTGCCCTATTTTGGTCGCCTGTATATTTTATTTCCCAGTGCATCCAGAGTATCACCCAGTAATTTTTTTTCTAAGCTTGAGATGCTGACATCAAATGGCTCGGGACTGAAGATCCTCCTGCCCAGCCTTTTATACTTTGACAGTGTCTTTCCCTGCAGGGATTGCTGTGTGCATTGGTATGGCCAGCACATTCGCATATGCCAACTCAACACTCCGAGAACAGGTTGCTCTGAAGGTAAGTACAGCATCTTGCTCTCTTACGTTCCCAAGCAACATTGGTCTTTGTATACAAAATAATGTTGAACCTTCTTTTGCATTGTAGGGATGAATGCTATTATATGGATATAGATCCATATTATATGGATATAGAAAAAGAGTACCGTGCCCTAATCCTCACTGCATCTTCCTACTTCTCCCCACTGATGCTCTCCCACAGTTTCCTTCCCGCTCTTTTGTGAAAGTGTGGCACAGTAAAATGAAGAGAGAAAAAGTCAGGGAGATTGTAGTCTGCTTCTGGTTCTGCCACTGACTGGCAGTGCATCTTCAAGCACTTCTCTGCACCTTAGTTTCCCATTATGTACAGCAGCGGTGCCAAAACCTATTTCACTAGTTAATGATGAGATTTAATTTATTAACATTTAGATTACGTTTTGAGATGTTCAGCTGAAGGATTTTGTAGATGTATTGCTTGTTAGTATCTTTATAATGCTCTGTTGATAATATACTTAGAATATAAAGAAACCAGCAGATCTTTTCAGGCCTTATGGTCTTCACTGCCAACAGAATACTGCAACAGTACTAAAAGCACAAGACTAGAATTGCTTTTTTGTAAAGATTACATGGGTGGCACAAGCGTGTACTTACATCTGCCAAAAGCAGTGGAATAACTGTGATACAATGCCGAATGAACAAATAAATTGCACAATCGTGTAATAGATTGCTGTTGCCTTGCACTTTGCACCTCTGTCTTTCCAGCAGTGTCCCCTTTAATCTGCCTGCTTTAAATCTCAACCTAACATCCCTGGCTGTTGAATAGCTGCAAAGAACTATTTTCTTAATAAATCAGCTCACAAGAAAAATGCTGGGTTTTTTCCTCCCAAGAGTAAAATTTACTCTCCAAAATTACACTGGGCCAAGACCCAGGACAAGATCTTGTGCCATCCGGCTTCTGTCTATAATGTTCCATGTCTTTTGAAATGCAAAATTTGCACTTCTTTTGACCTTTAATTATTTCTTCAATCAAACATGCATGTTGTAGAACTTCCATGCATTCAGGTAACAGTCATATGTGCTGCATGTAGTGATGGGTTATGTTATATTTTATTTAGCTAAGCCTTCTTCTAAGTGACTTTGGATCTATTTGTAAAACACCCCTTTGATGAAGTATCATTCCAAACAGGTGACAACTCAGAATTAAAGTACAGTATATGGAACTGAGGTTTAATCTGCTTGTCAAACTGCATTTTAAATATCAGACTTCTGATGTCCCAGGAAAGATCCCAACTTTGAAAATTGTGTTCTGCAAGTCAGGCTGTCATTTTTATCTGTATATTTCGATTAATTTCTCTGAAGTTATTTATTTGTAAAGGTTAGGTGAGTGCTTGTGTTTATATATATGTCTTCACCTAGCAGCCTATTTCTGAGTCTCAGTCCAAAGTAAATAAACTAATTACTGAACACTTAGTTGCATATTTGTGTCCCTTGGGTTGGTCTTGCATTTTTTCAGCAGTTGAAGGCTCAGTGCAACCCTTGAGACTTTGAATTTATCTTTGCTTCTTTTTCTTGCTCAGGAGAAGAGATCAGTGTTGGTTGTCTTCTGGATCCTGGCCTTTCTCACTGGAAACACCTTGTATTTGCTTTATACATTCAGCTCTCAGCAGCTGTACAACAGGTGGGCAAAATTTACCTTGTACATGATGGAAGAAGGTGATAATTGCCAGGGAGGAAAAGAGGGAAGCCCACTTTTCCCCATGCTTTGGGAGGAAGTGTGCATACTTAAGGTATCTGCTGTCTTTCTTACATCTTTGTAATACCTTTCAATGGAGGAAAAGAATGTGTGCGTCGCTTCTACCAGTGGACTATGCTCCTATCAATAAATGACATAACCGGGGTCTAAATGGGCCAGGGTGTGATGATATACTACACAGCAGTGTTGCTGCTTGAAACACGTACCTGTGCAATTTTCTTGTGTATCAAAGCAGGATGGATACTTTTTTATAGTGGGACTTCTGAATTTCCATTTTGGCCACTGTGACTGAACATAAAGAGCAGGTGTTGCAAGCAGATAAGAAACCGACCCACTGATTTTCCTCTCCCTATAATGTTTTCTCTTCAGCCTATCAAGCTTTGAGTCTATTACAGGAGATAAACTGGAGATGAAATAGTAGTGTTTTACGTCAGTGTCCTCAGGGCTTGGAGGCATTTGGATCTGGGGTAATTAAGATAGCCTCTACTTTCAAATTCTGACTAAAGTGGTGCTAAAATACAGAAAAGTTAGTACCCATGCATTTGGTTCAGTACTACCCCTGCTTATTATAAAGCAAGGATTAAATGACAGATAGGAAGCAATGATACAGAACTCAAGCAAGGGGATGTTAGTAGTGTAAATAGGAAGAAGCAGAGCAGTATCAAACCTAGATACTTCAGATAGTAGTTTTGATATTAGTAGCTAAAACCATATGAATTATCTTCCCCATTAATATTTTGTTTGTCCCACTGACAGGGACTTAGAACTTCAGACTGAAAATGTGTGTGTAACACGCATCAGTTGGGTTATGGCTAGATGGCTCTTGGGTATGCTTTTTGTCATTTATTTCATTGCTTTCCTGCTTCTTCCTACCAATACTGTCATGCAGTGGAAGAGTCAAGGTCAGCCCACAACCCTGGTATCCTTTGGAATTGCCCCTAATGTATTTGGGTTTGATCATTGGAAAGCTGTGTATGTAAATGCTTCTTGAAATGGGGAGAGATGAGGAGGCTTGTAGGTGTGGGTCTGAATGCAAGCTGGCAAGCCATAGAGTACTCTGTATAGGGATTGTGGGAGGGGATGGGAGAGAAGAAACAGGTATAGCAGAAAGGTGTGAAAGCATTAGTTAGGAATTTGTTTGCACCACAGGGAAACACTGTGTCCCTAAGAAGAAGGTTAAGGTTAAAAGCATGAATAGGACTAGTTTAAAGTAAAGGATAGATCATCTAAAATAAAAAAAGTTTCAGCAAATTGGGGCCATCCTACACACTGTTTAGGGTGTGGTTTGTGAACAGACTGGGCAACAGCTTCACTGAAAACCCCTGTTCCTGTGAGTGTTGTAGTGGCACCTACTGTGTCATGCTTGGGCTAGCATATCTACTGCTTGCTGTGTGGAACCTGTGACTATTCACAAGGCAGGCCTGTGAACTTAGAAATAGCTGCTTTGGTTTTGTTTCTTTCTGGCTTATTTTTCATTTCCTGATTTATTTACTTTTTGCTTGTTTCTAGTGCATGAATAGTAGTAAAGTCTCTGATTCTGTTTCTGTTTTTAGGGTGTAATTTTACCTGTTGTGCTGTGCCAGTGTTGTGAGTATTTTAAATTCACATTCAGGCTTTTCATTCTGGGTTGGTTATTTTACTTTTGCTTTTTTTTTTTCTTTTTGGTTAAGTTTTTGCTTTCTATCATGAGGCTTTAGTAGGTAAATATCCTGAAGAGGAATTCTATTTTTTCAGACTGAGTAGGGTCTAGTCCTCATTGCTGCTCAGGTCAGTAGCTCCTGCCCATTGCTACATGAAGTTCTGCTGTCCTGGACTCCCCTTCTTTAAAGAGCAAATGTTCAGCCCAGTCAATAGCATTATGTAAGGGGCACTACCTTTTTGGATCTTTGCTGATTAACACAGCCCAGCTCTTGGTCTGCTTCAGACAGTGACAAGCCACTGTCAGAGCATGACACACCTGAAGTTCTGACCTTTCTGTCATGTCTAATACAGTGCTTCCTTTGTCACCAGTTTGTTTCACGTGCACAAGTAGATTTAGAGACTGCTGCCCCTGCAGTAGTTCTACCTGTGGCAAGCCAGCCTCAGAGGAACAAGACATAGTGGTCTTAACTTGGCCGTGAAGTTCAACAAGGCCAAGTGCAAGGTCCTGCACGTGGGTCGGTGCAATCCCAAGCACAACTACAGGCTGGGGGTAGAATGGATTGAGAGCAGCCCTGAGGAGAAGGACTTGGGGGGGTGTTAGTGGACAAGAAGTTCAACATGAGCCGGCAACGTGCGATTGCAGCTCAGAAAGCCAACCATATCTTGGGCTGCCTCAAAAGCAGCATGACCAGCAGGTCAAGGGAGCGGATTCTCCCTCTCTGCTCTGCTTTGGTGAGACACCACCCCCACCCCCCCCAGTACTGCATCCAGCTCTGGGGTCCCCAACATAAGAAGGACATGGAGCTGTTGGAGCAAGTCCAGAGGAGGCCACGAAAATGACCAGAGGGCTGGAGCACCTCTGCTGTGGAGACAGGCTGAGGGAGTTGGGCTTGTTCAGCCTGGAGAAGAGAAGGCTCTGGGGAGACATGATAGCACCTTCCAGTCCCTAAAGGGGCTACAGGAAAGATGGAGAGTGACAGAACAAGGGGGAATGGCCTGAAGCTGAAGGGAGGGAGATTTAGATGAGATATTAGGAAGAAATTCTTCCCTGTGAGGGTGCTGAGGCCCTGGCACAGGTTACCCAGAGAAGCTGTGGCTGCCCCTGGCTCCCTGGCAGCATTCAAGGCCAGGTTGGATGGGGCTTTGGGCAACCTGCCCATGGCAGAGGGTTGGAGCTAGATGGACTGTAAGGTCCCTTCCAACCCAAACCATTTTGTCATTCTATGACTTCCCCAAGGAATTGTAAGTACTGATGACCGTGGACGTCAAAGGATAAGCAGTTACAATCTGACCTGATAGAGTAAGCCTGTGGACTAAAGGCACTGTCGTTAGACCAAAGGCTCTTTTACAGCATGAGTTGCAGCTTACAGATTGCAATCTTCCAAACTAGATTTTGTACAAGTTTGGGTCCTGGTTTCTGATAGTGGGCAAACCTGCTGACCTCAGTAGAAATGGGCAAGAACAAAGTCAAGAGGCCCAATGGAACCATGGGACTAATTTGCATGTCTTACTCCTATTGCCCTTGAGAACTTCACTGAAGTTCAGTTTCTAGGCTTTCTCTGGCTAGCAATGGATATTGCTGGTATCAAGAAGCTTGAGGGAGGTTCTCCTCATTGGTATTTGAGCTTTGTTGTCATGCCTTTCAGCCTCATATTTCTGAAACCCAACCTTGAGAGGCTGGACTTCTTTGACCTGATGTGGATTGTGGGGATCGCAGACTTTGTACTGAAGTACCTCACCATTGCGTTGAAATGCCTAATTGTTGCCCTGCCTAAGATCATCCTAGCTGTCAAGTCGAAGGTAAGAGTTTCTCCTCTTCTTGATATACAGATGTTTGTCTTTGATAATCTGATACCTTTACAACACATTTGCAGCGTGCAATATGGGTGCAGCAATAAAAATGATAAAATATCTGATAAAACTTTGGCAGAAGTCACCTGGGTAGTGAGTTTTGGTTTTTGAGCCATTGCAGACCTGAGCAAGGGTTTGGTAATACCATCAAGTAATTAAAGTCCAAAGAGAAGTAAGCATTGCTTGAGGAGGAGTAAGTAATAGTGGTGAGATAACTGCTTTTCTGGTTGACTTTTTCTGAGTAATCTCTATAAATAGATATTTCTGAAGCATAGCTCTCTTCATTTAATGGAAAGAAATTGGAAGTTCTTGTCTCTTTGGCTTTCCACTTGAGTCAAAGAAGTAACAGTATTAAATTGAAGCTACTGATGCCACAAGAGACAGTGCCAGTTCTAACCATGGGTGAAGAAATATTTTAACTGTTTAACATACTTGAATGTTTATAAAATCATATGTAGACTAGGCCTAACTATTGAAGCTTTCTCACTACATTCTATCCCTTGAAATACCTTTTCATGTTTTCCTACTCTTACAGATGTGTCATGCTGCCCTTTCCTCCACTTAGTAGCATCTACATTTCAGTGGAAAATGTAGCAATGTGTATTATTTACATTTGGTAAAGAAGCTTTCTGGCAGCTAAAGGGATGAAAGGCACTATGTAGATGCAAGATATTATCATTAATCGCTGAAAGTCTCAGGCAGGGCACTTAAGGGGATATCTAAACTGGGAATAGTTTTGCTTACAAATGACATGGGTGGCAAGGGAGTTGAGCAGTTTGTTCCCGCACAGCAGGGCTATTCGAGATGGTTATTAATTTATTTCTGGCAATTGTCCAGCTCTTTTTTTTTCCCCCCCTTCTTCTACTATTATTATTTTATTTTGGGAGATTAATGTGCTAGGTCAGAGCGTAATCCAGCCTGGGGAGGGAGGGAAAAGTGATGTGAATAGTCTTCCCAAGATAAATTGCAGTGTTGGAAAAGGTTCACAGCCTTTGCTTGCTTGTCTGAGAGCTATCCCAAGTACTCATTAATCCTTGTCGGGAGAGAAGAAAAAGAAGGGGTCTTTATTTGCAGCTACAGTGGGAGGCTGGTAAGATCACATCTGTCAAGGGCCTATAATGACTCAGAGCACAGATGCTTCATTTTTAATACCTTTTTCTGGATAGCAATATTTCTCACTTTTTTTAAGTCCCTTTTTGTCTTAGGATGTTGTTGATGGTCTCACTGTCCCTTGACATCTGAGACTGCTGTTACCTACCACTATGGATCTGGATTTATTTTTATACCCCTCTCTACACTGCATCCATTAAGCCAACCAAGGATGAGATCTGGTGTTACAAATTAAGCAAGATCAAACTAGGATGGGAGAGCTCCAAGAGAACCCCAGGATGCCATAGAAATTGTAATTGGTAACCACATAGCTGAGCTCTTTAGACCCAGCTTATTTCTACAGCCCAAGCACAATGCTACACGTCTTATTTTTCAGATGAGTTTTTTTAAAGGTAAGCTTTTTCTGAGTTAGAACACTTCTATTGCACTTTAGGCACATTGACCAAATTCTTATCAAGTTATTTGCAATCTGCTATCTTAATACTTGCCAGATACAAAGTTATTCTCTTCCTCCCCATATGCTTGTAGTGTTTCTGCTTGAAGCCTAGCTTGTAGTTTATGAACTTCTGGATGGCTGTCACTTAATGGTAGCAGGTAGCAAGCTGCTGGAGAAATAGAAATTAAACTCAGAGACGAGCTAAAAGATTTCTTCAAGATAGATATAATGAGAATTATTCTGCCAATTAACTAGTCACAACAGCAACCTCTAGGTCCCCATAATACAGGGCCAAAAGTGGAGATTGCTGCACTGTCAGGGATAGAGTTCAACACAGCTGTGAATAGTTTAGAGGTATTTAATCTTGAGCTTCCTTGCAGTACCTTCTTGCTGGCAGTCAGTAATAGATGATAAAACTTGCCCATGGACAGGATATCAGGGACTTTAATCATTCTGTGTTCAACCTCTGAGCATGCCCTTCAGATTTTCTTCATTTTGGAAGTTCAAAGGCACTTCCAAAGCTAGTCTGGCTTTTTGTGCTGCTTCTTGAGATGCTAGTCTTCTCCAAATACTTTGTGGTTTTCACTGATATTTGCATAGCCTTCCTAGTACGAGGCATCTCCTCTGACTGTTATTCTTTCAAGTCTCTTACCTCTCCATATCCATTGTGATTGGAGCAAGACCAGGTTCTTTTCTTTTATACAACAAAGTCTTCATTTCTCCCCTCAGTCTTCTCAGTAGACTGAGCAACACCAATTTTTTAAGTCTTTTCTCAGAGATCATTCATTCCAGATCTTATTATTCTCTTCTGGACTGCCTTCAGCCCCACCCTGTTTTCCAGACCATTTCTCCAGTCTGTCAAGAGGAGTCTGGATTATAATACTTCTTTCCAGTTTATAGCCTTTCCCAGTTTAGTGTCAACTGCACATTTGATAAGCCTACTTTGTTCCATAAAGATCACTAATGAAAATAGTGAGTAGCACTAAACTCTGCTTACTCAGATGCATCTTTTCATTTTGACAGCGAACACATGAAAAATTTGGGCTAGAGCACTCTGTTCTCCCAGTCTGAAGTACCTGGGTCATGTATTCCTAGTATGTCCCCATCACAGGGAGGGCAGCATTTGGTTTAAGATGACATCAAGAACCACCTTGGATTTATAGCATCAGTTCATGCTTTAATAACTGAGAAAAGGCAAACTAACACTGAAAGGCAGAAAAAGAGGTTTGTTTTTGCAATCTGAATGCAGAGAACAGTGAACACAATGAGTGAAGTGTGAAGCATGAAAACTGCTATGTTATGGGGGTACAACTAGCCAGAGTTCTCCAAGCTTGAATACCTCAATACCTTGAATATCTCTGCGAGCAAAGCCTCCAAAGAGCAAGGGAAGTTTGAAAATTTGACAAAATAATCCCAGACTTTCCCAGGTTCCAAACCAGCCCAGAAAACAGGTGCCAAGAGAGGCTGTGAGACTGCAATTGGGCTGGAAAGCAGAGAAAGAAGAGCTTGTGAATAGGGGAGTAAAGCAGAAAACAGAAGATAACCGCACCATCGGACTCGAGTCTTACACCGCTGGAATCGGTGGGAGTTTGTGGGAGAAGGAGCATACCTGTGGCTAAAGATATCCCTTCCTCCCCCAAGAGCTGTGGTGCACACATCAAGCTGAGTGCAAGTTTTAATAGCAGCTGGGCTCATAATTTCTTTGGAAGGGGGGCTTGGCTCCCACCCTGCATGCTGAAGGCTCTCCATTAAAAAAGGCAAATAAGATCATTTGGTTCAATATAAAATGAATTAAAGTAAATTAAACTGCAGGAGCCATGTGGCCTGCAGAGGCCTCCATTGTTATACACACATAAATGGCAGCTTTTCATTTTCACTGCTAAGGAATGACAGCTTGAGGGGGGTGGAATTAAAAATAAGGAAATAAATAATAAAAAGACACAGTTGCCAAAGATTTTGTTTAGGAAATCCCAGGTGCCTACAAGTCTCCCATCCCCTCCTCATGCTGTTGTCAGCAATCTAAGCTGATATCCTGGAAAATGGAGTGAAGCATGGCAGGGGAAGAGAGAAAACCAAACCAAAAGAAGTCTAAGAAACTGTTATCCCAGGTTCTTTTTTATATATATATATATACACGTCCCTGTCTCTATAGGGGAGAAATATACCAAGGACACACTTTTTTCCAACAGTCTTAATGGGTGGCATATAAGAAAGGCCCTAAGTAAGAATTTTCTTTGCATGCTCAATGTAGATGTGCAGCCAAGTTACAAGGAGCTGCATTTCCAGAAGATTGAAAATTCAAAAGGAAAACACTAACATTTGTTCATTGAAAACATAGTATGAAATTACTATTGAATGAATACTTGTCAGTTTTGTTTGAAAGCTGGATCAAGACTTTGCAAAGGAGTTTTTTGTAGTGCAACAGTGGCATTACTCATGTGAAGTGTTTTCTTTATTCTGTTCAAATGGTGTCAGGGGCAAGGGTACAAATACTAGTCCACACTAGCACTGTGCACTCCTCACTGCATCTTTGAAGATATTTGCTGAGGTTTTGGCAGGGGGTTGGTGGGTTTTTTGGTGCTTTTTTGTTTGCTTTTTTTTTTTGAGTACCATCTCATCAAATTTGGTTAGAGAAAACTTGGCCTGTACATGGCAGCCATTCTTTACACAGTTTTGCACTTGAACTTTGGACCAGAGACCTTTTTCAGGTGCATACCACATTTCCTAGCACAGATGGTTACAGCTCTGCCATGTAAACTGGCACATTAAGCTTTCCATATTCCTTCTGAAGGAAGCATCAGAATGTCTTTTGCACAAAGTAGTATGATTTGGATCATTCAGCTGAAGCAAACTATCTTAAGGCACTATATCACAGTGTCAGCTGGTCTGCAATAACTGTGTATTCTGTGAGTCAAGCTAGTAAGACTTGTTTTTTTTTGAGTAGCCCCAGTGCTCTTCCGTATTCTAATGGAGCACAAGCACATCCATAGTTGCTTTGGTTATCATGTCACCACCTGTCTCTGCACAGCCATGTAAAATTAAATAGTTTGGTAAGGAAAATGAGCACTTACAATGATTTGAATTGTTCTGCAGCCTGCCTCCATGTTGTGTCAGAGCTCAGCTCCATGGGATACCCTGGTCCAAAATCCTGGCGCCCAGCCTTTCTCACAGGGCAGACTGACCCTTCCTCCATCACTTGACTAGTTACACAAGTGATTTGCATGTGCAGAAGTTTTATGCTCCTTGAGCAACAAGCTCTTCTTGGACTAGGCCTTCATGTAGAACAACCCATGACATAGAACAAAGTCCATCCTTCTGCATCAAGGCAAGGAGGGCGAGCTGGAGCATCTTGTGCCTGCCAAAGCACTCTCTCTAGGCCACAGCCTCTTCCAGAGGCTCACAT